GGATTTATCTCAGCATAGACACGGATTATATAAAATAGACATAGGTTATAGCTCAGCATAGACACAGGTTATATAAAATAGGCATAGGAAATGGCTCAGCATAAACACGGATTATAAAAAATAGACATAGGTTATAGCTCAGCATAGACACAAGTTATGGCCCAGCATAGACACAGGTTATGGCCCAGCATAGACACAGGTTATATAAAATAGACATAGGCTATAGCTCAGCATAGACACAGGTTATAGCCCAGCATGGACACAGGTTATAGCTCAGCATAGTCACAGGTTATAGCTCAGCATAGACGCAGGTTATAGCTCAGCATAGTCACAGGTTATAGCTCAGCATAGCCACAGGTTATAGCTCAGTCTAGACACAGTTTATAGCTCATGACATGCAAGTGTGAGACAGTATGTGATACGGAATTAGAATTCCCTACTACTTACGGCATGGTAGGTTCCACCCTCGCCCGTGTACTCCCAATTCCACTCCGACAGGTGCTGGTAGCTTGCTTTAGGAGAGGAGGCGCATAGAACCACTTGATACACCGACTGGTCAGGCCGTTGGATCCGCACAATGAACTGCAGCGGACGTAAACGAGGTCAAGCGGTGGGGTTTGCATTGGTTTAGTACAAGGTATCGAATACATACTCACGCTAAGGTGTCTGTGTTGCTTCTAAGGTGTCTGTGTTGCTTGCCAGCCGAGGCTGTTGTGCATGCGTATTTGCACGGGCATGAGGCAACCGCCAACAAACAACAACCCTCTGCCATGCACTATGCCACAGCAAACAGTGGACCAGGTTTTGGCTTCAGCGTTTTGAAGAAATGCTTCGGGTTGACAGTGTTGCAGTAGGGGTTGTACCTGATCAGCCCATACAGTTTCGTACGAGTATATGCCAGGCACAAGATTCCACCGGTTAAAGTGGCCTTTCCAGCTGCGGCAGACGGTTCCGCCCCCAATACCTCCCATGGGCACTCCTAAGTGCGGTGCAAAGTGGTAGAAGTACATCAAAACGCGGCTTTCGATACAAACTTTGAGACTGTAAAGGCCTATGCTGCATATTAATTACATCGCAAACCTACAGGCGGTCAACGTTTACTCATTTGTATTGATCTGAATCCCAGTACCTTTATATGGATCTAGTTCCTGTGGGTTCATTGGATCCATGAAGGGCACGCGACCTTTCCTTTTCACAGAACTTGTGTATCTCCAAAACCTGGAAGAACACAATAGCGAACATAGACCATTCAGAGCGAGTGTGGGCGAATAGACACAAACGTTTCTTGATATACTCCAGGTCACTGTAGCCTTAGCTCAGGAATAACATCATACTTTAAAAATACTCGCTTGGCAAGCACTGGTGGCGATACATGCACGCCGTAGTACTCTCGATACAAACCCCGTGCAAGATCGCAAAATAGCAGCATCTGGACATGCCGAACCTCAGCTCAAACCCTCTTTCACCGGACTTACCTATACGCTAAGCCCAGAAGACTTGCAATCTGAGTCGGGGTAGGTCTGAGCGCAACTGGTTTGCTTCCTTTCAGATAGTCAAACTCACCGTTCATCTCCTTCGACCAGCCATACTTGGGTACAGCTGTACAGAGATGTTGCGTTGTAGGTTGTACATGATGATTAGTTTTGAAGAGACATCGTTGTTGCGACGGTATAGTAATAATGGAAGAAAACAAGTTACACAATTATGCGCATAAATAACTCGTGGCCATTTTACTTGTATACTAAGGTCCTCATGCAGATAAGTATACATAAAAACATATATTCATACATGAATACAGAAATCGTACGAATATATTCGTAATAAGAAATAATACATACGTTTGCAAACGTTAATACAATATATATATATATATATATACATATATATATACGTATATATATACATATAT